GGGCGTGGACCCCGGCGGCCCCGGGATGGCACGGTCCTGGGCCCTCGGGGCCGCGGGGGGAGGGCCCAGCCACAAAGGGCACCCAGTGCCAACAGGAAGCCCGCTCGGTGGCCGCGGGGAGGCTCAGAGTTTTCGGGCTGTTTTGTGGTCTTCCCGGCTGCGGAGCGGAGGGGTGAGGATGGCCGGGGGCGGGGGGCGAGCAGGGCCGTGTGCCCCGCTTCCTGCGCGCGGAGAGGAAGGGGCCGTGTCCGGAATGCCAGGCGGGCGGCGGGCGGCGGGTGGCGCGGGGGCGGGAAGTGGGGCGCAGGGGGAGCACCAGGCCCCCTCCCCCCGCATTCCAGGACGGAGCCGCGGGTGAGGTCATCCGTCCGGTTCCCCTCTCCGGGCAGCGACCCCAGGGCTCCGGGGCTTCAGCCTTTCCCACCCAGACTCCCAGCCCCTGCTGCCCCCAAGCTCGGCGTGTTCTGATCCCCTCTGTGCGAGGCCCTCCTGGGGTGAAACCCATTTTCTAGACTGGGAACTGAGAGGCTCGGGCGAAGGAACGGCGTGGCGGGAACAGTAGCGCAGGCGGGGGGCCCCAGGCAGCCTCGTCGTCTAGCGAGTGGAGGGCAAATTTGGCTCTGATTTGGGGTGGGGAGGCAGGAAGCACCCCTGCCCCGCAGGAGGGTCGCCCCTTACGGCCTCAAATGCGGCTTCCTCCTCCTCTTAACGCGCAGAGTCCTGGGGACGGTGACCCCCTCAGACCGCAGACGGCCCCCCCTTTCAGGATCAGTTTCCCTGTCTCCACTTGAAGGCGGTGGGACTGCAGCGCGCAGGCGAAGCCCAGGCCCCCATGGCCTTAACCCCCTATCCCAGGGCTTCGTGGTGTTGGGGAAGCCCCGGCCGCACCCCTAGCAGAGACCGTAGCGGAGCAAGCGTCATCCAGCTCGACCTCGACAGGCAAGGGGCGGCGCGCGCGCCAGCGGTGGCGTCTAGTTCCCACGTACGTGGCGACGTGTCTGTCACCTCGATTTGGAGAGCGACCCCCAGGTGATAGCTCGGCACCCAAAACTACCTGCGCCCCCACAGCGCCCCTGCTGGTCTCCTCTAACACCTAACCCTGCCTGGGCGCCAAGCTTGCCCTCACGGTCATACCACCTGCGCCCTGTGCCAGACCCTCCCAGAGCGCCCTCCCACAGAGTCAATATTTAGGAACCGCTTGCAAGAGGGACTCTGGGGCCTTGCGGTCACAGGTCAGAGGCCCTGATCCTCTGGTTGAGTCTCCCACCTCCCGGATCTGCCCCGGTGCGTCAGCGGCTGGGGCAAAGCCTCTGAATTCTGCCCTTGCCTGCTCTGACGTACACCTTTCCCCACTTACTCTCGCGCCCTCTTGCCGCTGGTAATGGTAGAGTCGAGTCCAGCCTAGGGTTCTACCTGCTGTCTCTTTCCTGTCAGATGTGGAACAGTCTCTCCTATTTCTGAATAGAAGGAGCTTTCTCTCCAATCCTAAGGACTTGGTATTCTGGTCTTTGGGGAGCAGAGGATCCCTGACCGGGTCACCCAGAGTCCCGGCCACCATCACTGCAGGGCTCCCACCACCACCGTCAATACCTTGTGGTCGGAACTAGATGCCAAGTAGAACCAGGAGATTCTAGCAAAATGAGCTGAATTCTAACCCAGGGCTGCCCTGAGCCAGGCTCTGACTGCAGCACCTTCCAGCCAGCTGACTGCCTGGGGAGGGGCCCACCTGGGAGGCTGTCCCCAGGTGTCACCTAGGAAGACAGGCCTGAGTGGCAGTGTCCTGCCCGTGGTGTCACCCTCTGGCTGGTCCTGCCTCTTCCCTCCCCCTGGGCACCCAGCTTGGCTCTGTGCACCAGCCTCTCCTGCAGCAAGAGGGCCACAGGGTGGAAGGAGCCCTTTTGAGATGGACAGACACAGTAACTGGGGTAAAGAGAGTAGATGTCTGAGACAGTGAGATTAGATCTGGATAGAGCAGGGCTCCCAGCTCCATAGGGTCTCTAGGAGTCATAGTTGACTCAACAGCACTTAAGAACAACAATGTGTGGAGATTAAGTAGGAGGCTAGTCCTCCTGTCACGGTCACTGTGGCCAGGGGGTGGCATAGGGACACAACTCCCCTTGGCTGGGAGGGGTTAGAAGAGAAAGCCAGAATTGGGGCAGGTACGGCCACATGGCAAATGCTGTGACCTCATCACATGGCAAGTTCCTTCCGCAGAGATTCAATCCTTGATCCCCGCTGAGCAGGGATACCTGGTCCAGACCAGGTGACCAGGTGGCTGCCATGCGATCCTGGACAAGTGTGTTCCCTCGGAGCCGTGTTTCTACAAGGGGCCGCTGGCCTTCCAGTCCTGCAGAGCTGCAGAATTAGATGACATCATGTAATGGTCGGAGCTTCACAACTTCAGCAAACATTCCACCCGGCTTCTGGGTGCCTGGGGGTGCCAGGAAAAGAGATGATTCAGAAACACCCCCCCCTAGGGGGAGGAGTTAGAGTTGGGGGAGGATCAGATGGTGGGAAGGGAAGAGAATGTGGCCAGAGGACAAAGCAAGCTCTGTGCTGTCCCCTTCTTTTGTTTTTTATCTTGTTATCGAACCTATTTTGAATTTCAAATAACACGAGAAAGGCAGTGTTACAATTTTTATTCTGGAAATGGAAGCAAAGTTTTGAACAATGGTAGAGGCCGCAGGTATTCTTGTTAAGGGTCCTTATCAGGTGAAGGGCTGGGGCCTGGGGAGGTAAGTGACTCGCCCAAGGTCACACTGGGAGCTCTTGCCACTCTTGGAAGGTGGTGTGAAAAGGGCAAGTTGACATGCTTTGGCATCAAGGTTGTCACAGAGATCTATGATTAAACCGCTGTTGATTGGGCCCAAGCCCTTGCTGGACGTTGGGAGGGCAGAAGGCGGGCCAATCTGGGCAAGCCGCCCCACCCTCTGATGTAGAGAGACAAGACTGGGCTCCTCAAGCCAGTCAAGGGCAACGTGAGTCAGAGGCTCCGAGTTCAAGTCTCGACTAGCTTGTCTGATGGGACCATGAGCAAACTTGGCCCATTTCTGGGTCAGAGGAAAACCACCAGCTTATAGGCACTTCGGGACTTTATGTGGTACTCGGAGGGATGGGGTCAGATGGAGAGGACATCAGAGCCTTACAGAGAGTGGGGCTGGGATGATGGGGGTGGGGGGGCAGGAGGGTAGCTTTTGACAAACCTTTTTAGACAACATGGCTCCTACCCCAATTTGACAAACTATGATAAGATCCTTCCTGCAGACCTTCTCAGAGCCTTGAATGTGCTCAGATATGCAGAAGGCAGCTGGAAAATGCCACTTTCACCACAAGATGCTTTTTATTTTCCAGGAAGCACCTTGAAGGGGGGAGGGTTCTGAGGAACCCGTGCTGAAGCTGTTTACACAGCCATTGGCCAGGCATTGCCTCCTAATCCTGGCTCCCCTGGGTGGGAAGATTTTAAACCCACGAGGCTGCAGGAGACAACAGAACCTGGAGCTGCAGGGACCTAGGGCTTGGGGCCCTGCTTTCCCATCTCTCCTGTGTGGACTTGGGCAAATGACTTTCCCCCTCTGTGTCTCCGTTTCTCTCCTCTAATTGGAGGAACTCCCTGGGTGATTCTGTGTGTGACATGGGAGGGGACCCATAGAATGGTCATGGATGTTACACATCTCAGGAGGATAGCTTAGTGCATTCTTTTCCCCGTCTCCTCTCAGGCAATACGCACACAAGGGCATCTATAATTCCAATTGCTATCACCATTGATAGAACAGAATTGTTGTTTTTGAGTATCACTGAGTCAGAACTGACTCATAGTGGACCCTCCAGTGGGTTTTCAGAGGCAGTAAATCACACTGGAAGAGATCGCCCCTCTTTCTCTTACAGAGGGGCTGGAGGATTTGAACTGCCTACCTCCGAGTTGGCAGCACAATTCCTTGCCCTTAAGGCACCAGAGCTCCCTGATAGGTCAGTGAAGGGGAGGAAGGCTCCCCAGGAGGGGGACAGAAATGGTGAGGATGGGACAAGGACAGGACCGGGTTCAGATCTGCGGTTCGTAGGGTCACTGTCACCATTGACAGTTTCGTCTGTTCTTGAATTTTCTCTTGGTGAAAGAGTGCGAGCGCCTTGGGGTCTGGCTTTCGTTCATGATTTGGGCTCCATCCATGTTGTTGAGGGTAGTGTAGCCCTCACGTGACTTATCATCACCTCTCTCCACGTCCAGGTCTCAGTTGCCAGGAAGGCAGGATTGGGGTCTGCGGTCAGAAACTGCTTCTGAAGGACCGGGACGCCCTCCCACAGCCTCTGTGCCCAGGGGCAGAGCGTCAAGAAGCCCAGGAGAGCCACCAGCTGCCACCGTCCACCAGGAAGACACTCACTACAAAGCGGGGGCCCCCCAGCCCACCTGTCCCTGGGCCCCGCCAGCATGGACCGGCAGCTGTGAACACCCAGAGCTGATGCCAGGCCCGCAGGGGACCAGAAGAGCTCCCACCATGAACCTGGGCAAGCTCTCGGTGGGCTGGGTGTCCGACGCGCCGGGAAAGAGGAGGCTGACGGCAGATATGATCAGCCCCCCGCTTGGGGACTTCCGCCACACCATGCATGTGGGACGCGGAGGGGACGTCTTTGGAGACACCTCCTTCCTCAGCAACCACGGAGGCAGCTCTGGGGGCACCCACCGCTCGCCCCGCAGCTTCTTGGCCAGGAAGCTGCAGCTGGTGCGCAGGGTGGGGGTGCCGCCCCGCAGGGTGGCCTCCCCGCCTGCACCCTCGCCCGCCCCGCCTGCCGTGTCCCCCATCATCAAGAATGCCATCTCCCTGCCCCAGCTCAACCACGTCGCCTACGACAGCCTGGTGGTGGGCAAGCTCAGCTTCGACAGCAGCCCCAGGGGCTCCAGGGACGGCACCTCCAGCTACGGTGAGGATCTGTTTGCCATTTTTCAAAGGCCAAGGCCCCCCTGAGATGGGGAGGGTCCCACAGTTCAGTCCAACAAACCCCCATATTCTTCTGGGCCACTTCCAGGAGGACTGGGGTGCAGCCCCCTTGTGTCAGAATGATAGTAGCGGAAAGGCTAAGAGCCTGGATTCTGGTTTCAAACCCTTGTTCTCGGTTCACCTTGTGAATGTCACGTTCCCGCTGTGTCGCGGGCCCCTTAAGAATATCCCAAAGAGGCAGCGAGGGAGGTCAGGCGTGTCATTCACGGGGCCCCAAGCCAGCTATGTAGTAGGTGCGAGGGACACGGGAACCTTTGTTGTTGAACAAAGGTTTCTGTAATGTGGCAGATTTGGAGAACCACTCACATGGATCCAAGCCAGAGGCCCTTCCTGTCGGCAGGGAGTGGCAAGGCCACCTTGGAGCTGCCAGGAGGCCAGACCCGGGCACCTGTGGGGGTGTGCTGCCACCTGGTGGTCATTTAGAGCCCAGCGGCCTTTTTTGCAGGCACTCCAGTTTGGTCTAAAGTTCCCACTCCTGGGAGGGGCTCAGAGCCCACCTGAGGACAGGTGCATAGAGGCGCCATGCCTGGTACTTTTGGGACTGGACAAGATGGTTTTTGGAGGGAATGTACCGCCCTTTGAACAGCTAGATTCCCCAGGGCTGGTCCTATCCCTGAACCAGAGGTGTAGCCAGAGGGAGCGCCCCCCTCCCAGGTGCAAGTCCGAGGGGCTGCCAGATGAGACTGGTCAGTGACTTGATGAGGAAGGGGTGCAGGAGTCCAGACTGCCTCTGCTAGCTTTTCCTCTGTGCCCTTGAACCAGCCCTCGCAGTAGTGGGTTCACCTGTAACCATTGTGGGCGTTGGGGTGGAGGGTGGGGTTTGGGGGAATTGGGTTCAAGTCATGCTCAGTGCTGTGGCTGCAAGTCCCAAGGTTTGAGGTCCAGGCCAGAGGTCTGCTTCATCCCACTCTCACCCTGGGTAAGCCCCTTCCAGACCCAGACTGGGGCTCCATTCTCTCATCTGCAAAGTGCGAATGGTTGTCAGTTTTGGAGTCAGGATTGGAGGAAGGGTCCCCAAGATACCATTGGGCAAGCTCAAGTAGAGGCCAGAAGCTACATTAGCAAGTTGGGGTGCTCAGCTCTCCCCTTCCCAGTTCCCCTGTGGGGCCAAACCTCAACCCTGACCTGCCCCCTCTCTTTCAGGCCTGGAGTCTGGGTTCTGCACCATTTCTCGCCTGCCCCGCACGGAGAAGCCCCGCGACCGTGACCTTGACCGTAACCGGGAACGGGAACGAGAAAGCACCTTCCCTTCAGAGCCAGAACTCCGCCGTTCTGACTCCCTCCAGTCCTTTCGCCTTGACCTTGATCTTGGACCCTCCCTCCTCAGCGAGCTGCTAGGGGTCATGAGCCTCTCAGAAGCTCCAGCAGCTGGGACCCCCACCCCAGTGCCCGTCATGACCCCTGCAACTCCTACCACAAACCCCCCAGCACCTGCTATAAATTCCCCAGCCTCGGTCACTAACCCCTCAAGTGGACACTACCCCAATGGGGTAACTGCTGGATCAGGGACTGAGATGAGGCCCAAGGCAGCCCCAGAGGGTCCCAATGCACCTGCTGACATGGCCCCCAGCAGGCGCTGGGGAGCCAGCCACCACTACACTGCGACAGATGCCCGGTGGGAGCAGGTGGAGGCACCCCAGGTGCGGGCCTCCTGGGAGAGCCTGGATGAAGAGTGGGGGGTCCAGGCTGGCAGCAGGGCCCCTGTGCCCAGCACAGTCCAAGCAAACGCCTTTGTGTTTGCGGATGCTGAGGAAGATGATGAGGTCAAAGTGTGAGAGGCCAGCCCAGCCCATCAACCAGAGCCTGGGGTGCGGGACCCTGGCTGGCCTTGGGGGCCTCTAGAGAAAGGTGCTTCCTGGTGAAAGTTGGGGAGAACTCAAGTTTCTCCAAGTCCCTCCACGCCTCTGCAGGACAGACATGGTTGGGAGAACTTAAGGAACTGGCTTGTCTGGGACCTGGGTGCTCCCAGTTGCCCCGTGGGCCAGCGGACCAGCCTCCATGGCCGTTATGTGCCCAATGGCCCGTCCTCATGCCCCTATACCCACCCGTGCTGCCCCCAACATGCCCAGCATCACAGTGCAGCCTTTGTGGGATGCTGCCCTCGTAGGGTGGGAGGTGGGGATCAGGCACACAAGGCCATTGTCTCCGCTCCCAAAAGGATGCCTGCTCCCAGCAGAACCCCCCCCCACCCCAATGCCTGAGAGCCTGCCCAACCTGCCAGTCACCCCAGAAGCCTCCAGAAAGGTCAAGTGTGACCTCAGAGGCAACATCCCACCTCCCAATGTTCCCCTGGTCCACGAGGAGGCCTGATTAAAAAAAAAAAGTGTTTTGATACACTGTCCCTGTGGTTACTTGGAGAACTTTTGAGGGAGCTGGGAAGAAGGCTTTCACCCCTCCGGCCAGAACACCCTCCCCTACAGGACCCTCCCTCAGGGCCCTCAATGGGGGTCGAAGCAGAGGGTAATGAGTAACCAGGCTGGAATGTCCTCTGAGATAAGCCACCCAGGTGGGGGCCTTATCTGCAGTTCCGGGAACAGCGTGGACCCAGGTGTCTGGTGATCCCATGGGGCAGCTTGGCCCCAGTTCCAGTGACAGGGGGTGGGGATACCAGGATGGCACAAATGCTTAAGCATTCAACTGCTAACTAAAAGGTGGCTGGTTCAAACCCATCCACAGGTACCTCAGAAGACAGGCCTGGCGGTTTGCTTCTTAAAGATCTCAACCTTCAAGCCCATGGAGCAGTTCTGCATAGGGTATGGGGGTCGCCAGGAGTCAGAATTGACATCATGGCAAGAAAAGCAAGGGCAGGGCCTTGAAGGTGGCTGGGGACGTGGGCTCTGCCTGTCACAGCCCCTCCTCCCCCACATGGCGTGCCAGCTTGTGCCTCAGTTTACCTGTCTTTTGCTAGGGTGCTGTGAGCATTAAAAATACTTCTAAACATTGACTACATTTCCTCCGATGTGCTCCTGGGGCAGGGGATGGGGTTGGGGGCTGGTGGATGAGTGGGAGTAAGGAGCAGAGCCAGGACCCCAGGGTCAGTTTGAGCTATTTTATTCAGAGGGGGCTGCCCACTCAGTTGAACTTGAAGGAGGAGACCTTGAACCCGCCCTTCACACCCAGGTAGTCCAGGTGTGTGTGGCCCAGCCTGTTGGGGAAGGTCAGGATGTAGCCGTCGGGCAGCTTCACCTTGAACCAGTCACCCTCAAAGGTCACGGTGATCTGTGAGTGGGAGAGAAGGTGATAGGCCAGGTTACCCCAGAAATGAGCCAGGTAGCTCCCCTGGTGCCCAGGCTGGGGTTCCCTGGGCCCCTTCCCCCCACCCCCCACCCTTGCACTCACCTTGACCTCTGACCCCCGGTGGAAGTTCAGGTGGTTTTCCCGCTGCTCTTGGCCCCAGGCCCCATCCCGAGTGTTGCACACGATGGTGGACTCATTGAAGCGGGGGTTAAAGTGGAAGTTCAGTTTGTCTGCTGACTGGCCCAGGTTAATCACAAAGCTGTAAGAGGGATCACAGGTGAGGTCTGCAGGTCACCACAGAGCAAAGAACTTGGGGAGTATTTTGCTTGACCACGGGCTGCACAATTCACCAAAGAAAGGTTGCCCAAAGCAGGAGGTGACAATCTGACCAGACTTGGCACCGGAAGAGCTCATTCTATCTAGAGCACAGAACACAGGGCTTGGCAGGAGGGTAACTGAGAGCGAGAGTTTAAAAACTGGGGATTTCTATCCTGACCCTGACATCTCTGAAGATCCTTTTAGTTATTCATTTCTGGTGCCATTAACTGCCTCTGAAAACCCGTTGGAGGGTCAGCTATGGGTTGGCTCAGACTTTAAAGTACACAACAACAACAAAGTGGTGATAAGCTTCTTGTCTGTTATTGTTGTCCTGTGCTGTCCTGTTCAAACTGACCCACAGCTGCCCCTCTAGGAAGTTTTTAGAGGTAGTAAATTGCATGAGAGGAAATCACCCACCTTTTTCCACTGGAGCAGCTCGTGGATTCGAACCACGTACCTTTGGGCTGGCAATATTATTCCTTACCATTAAGCCAGGTACATAGGGTTTTCAGAGGCCTGCTATTTCAGAAGTGGATGGCCAATCCTTCTTCCTAGTCTGTCTTAATGTGAATGTTCAGATTAAGAGAAGTATTAGACAGACCAGCAAGTTAAAGGTATATCCCTTCTTGCAGAGTTAACTTTAGTGTCAGTGTTGTCCCTGCCTTTCTCACATGCATCTTTATGCACTTAT